TTAAGGGCTAACGAGAGAGGGAGGGGAGGTTGTCTGCCTCTACTAATCTCTAACTGATTGCACGTGACATGACAACAAGCACCCAGCACCCTCAAAGCACCCTCAAAGCACCCTTTACATGACGCTCGGTAAACCCCCTGGGTCCAGGAAAACTAAGCGTTCTGGCACTTCATCCTCCGTACATGTCCACCACCTATACACCTCCCGGTCACTTAGCGGTCGCACCAGCCTACGACAAGAGGTTCTAAATGCCACGGCCATTCACAAGAGGCAGGCCAAGGATCGCATAGACCACGCCCTTCGTCAGGATGCTATGTCCGCAGTGGAAAGAGATGAGTTGGAGGCAATCCGTACAAACACCACCAACGACAGCGGCAGTAGAAGCGTTGACGACAGCAACATTGAGCATGATGCCTGGGAAATGGATGTCAATGTGATTCTTGCGGGAGCGGAAACAATAGACATTAGCCATGCAGGGGGGGAATTCACCGCACTTGTGGATATTGCAGATGAATTACTGGGCCCACCAAATAGGTAAAACCACCATTTCTGTACTATCATACACATTCTGAGTCCATGCTAGACGACCCCGCACTCGTGACTACCGTACACGTAGGGATCGAACACAACGACGCGTCGACGCATTTAATATCCAGCTCCCAGCACTGATAGAGGCTTACATGGGGTGGATGCTTCAACTTGGAGAGGATGGGTATTCAGGAGAGTATGTATTGCCTCCCAATGCTGAAGTCCAGGCAACAACAACCATCTGTGAAGTCGACGTGTACCGTGAGTTTCGCCACTCTCTCTTTTTATTTTACTCACCCTTCCCCTGATCTCAGGCCTCCGACACGTCCAAGTTTATCACCTATCAACAGATGTGTACGTGTGTGCCGCGTTAATTCGACAAGGGCTCATGCCATGTGCCCCATATTCCCCTATAGCCGCAATCAGCATCCGAGCGCTCGAGCTCTTCCGATTGACACACCTCCGCTGCCCCCATGTCTCCATCCACTCCTTTGTCAAAAGCCTCTGCGACATGCACTGTGTACCATTCAAGCCTTACCTCCGACGTCAATTCTCCATCGCCTTCGATCTCTATCTCAATATCCGAACCGCCGTTGACCGATTGGTTCAAGCTTCCGTAGGACGTGATGGCGTCGACTACCGCATCAAACACTTATGTCCCCCCTGTACCTACATTCTCGAAGATGAAGATAAACTCAAGTTCTCAATGCTTTACACCACAGACGGCAATGACTCTATGAAGAGGATCCCTCATAGGGAGCCAGAGCCAGAGCCAACAGCCGAGGAGGCACCAGCAACAACAGAAGACGTAGCACAGCCTATCCTCGGGGCTTCGAGCGAAGTCAAGGACAGTCGGACCACTGGGCGTGGCATTTATTTGACGCGGGAGCAGGTAGATGAGTGGGCGAAAGAGGTGTTGATGGAGGAGGTCCCGGGTTTCGAGTATGACGATGACAATCCCTGTGCCGAACGCTGGCGCAATATGAAGACCGAACTGACTGCCAAGATGTGGGGGATGTTCGAAGAGACCGGCCTATTTTTGGCCCTCTGCCGACATGGTTTTGTTCTCGTGTTGGCAGATATGGTGCGCAGCGGCGAACTGTGAGTTGTTTCTGTGGTTACCATCTTCACACCTCATCGCTAACCTTTTATCTAAGCTCCAAGTACCCCCTGGCCATCGTCTCCAAGATGATTGACATCTTTGGGGCTGACCTTGGCCACGGCTACGACATCGGGTGTCGCTTCAAGACCACAATAAACAAGAGCTCGCTGG